TTTCTGTGGGCGTTCCTTTTCGTACACTGGCAAAAACCAGGGGGTAAGCGGGATGGCGGTTTTACGGTGTGTGTGTGTGGGGGGGGGGGGGTACAATGGGGTTTGACTGTACTTGATCAAGACACAGTCTGTTAAACACCTCCCTTCAGCGTCTCGGCGCTTTTTTTTTAATGCAAGCAACTGTGGCTACGAACTACGAACAATCGTCCAAACATCTAAGTAGAGATGTTCCATTTGTCAACTACCTGTTCGGCCGGCATGGGACTGCATTTTAATGCTTTTTTTGTACGCACCATCAACTGGACGTGTCTAATAAGAGAGGAAAAAGACTGGGGGGCTGGGAGAAATATTTAAAAATGTGCTTTGTTATTGTACCATGCATCACTTACAGCTGTGGTATGTGAACCATGCAATGCTTTGCTTGGGGAAAAAAGAATTCCTCACTGCAAGCTATCTAGATTTAATTACAACTAAAGAGTATGACAATTGCACTGGAGGAGGACTCACAAAGCCAAGCTTTTTGCTCACAGAAGCACTGGGTTTGTATGAAGCTACGTAATTTCGGGCGCGCGTGCAGATTTGGCAGGGCACGTTATGGCAGCACTTTCTATCAAAATTACGGAGTCGTTTGTTTTAGTAGGAGGTTTACGGCACTTGCAACACAACAAAATCATATCAGTGCCTGCAGATTAGAAGTGTTATTAGAGAGTAACAGACATAAAAAGAAGAAGGAAATACAAGGACGACAGTAGATGTTTGATAGGAATGAAGGAGCAAACCACATCAGATATCTGCCAACCACCCGCAATAATTGAATCTTCCGTGCAGCCGCAAGTTGAAAAGTTCAGACTTCACTTGCCTAACATCTGATGATGTCACCGATCTCTTTTTTACGATGAGGGTACACCGTGAACTGCGACTGACAAATTATAATAACGCCCTCCCCCATCCCAAAAAATCACACAAAAAATGTTTTACATTTAAAAATAAAAAATAAAATTAGTTAATTGATAAATAAATTTAAAAAAATAAATAAATATATCAAACAAAGTAAAATAAAACCCAAACAAGTGAGGAAAAAAGCAAAACTAAACCACTGCAGATTTGATTTGGTGCTCAAGTTCAACAAAACTTCAGCTCCACATTTCTATTAAAGTGCCGTAAAAAATTCGAGGCGCAATTTATAATCATAATTTCCTTAACCATCGAACATAGATTCTCCAGCTTTTGCACAATGAATTATATCATTTTGTCTTTACAGATCAACGTTTTTTGTAAAAACCTTTTAGCTTTATTTAAGAAAATGCCTTAATATTATTATAATAAACACTAATTTTTAAAATCCCAATGGTTGGTTTCTACAGATTTTAAAAGGTTTACATCACATGAGATGAGAAAATATATATCACTTTTAATTGCAAATCTGTCCTTTGTTCTAAACGCGGCATTATGCGTATTGAAGACATGTTTTACAAGCCTTTTACTTTTAGTTTTAGTGCAAAAAATTAAAAAGTATTCAATGTAAAATTAGGTTTTTGTTACAAGTTTTGCCACTGAAGAGTGTCATTGGTTAGCAGTGACGTAGGCCATACGCGTATGCAAATAAAATGTGTGTGAGAAACGGAAAGTACTGTGAAAATACCCATTTCCGGGTGACGGAGATTTGCAGTATCAAATAAAAAAAAAAAATGAAGAACAGTATTTTAAAGTAGCCTCAATTGTTGTGGAAAAATATAATTAAGACAAATTGATACAAACTGTATCAATTGATAAAAACAATCAGGAAACGACAAATGCAGTTTTTGGAACACATGAATAGACATAGATCTAAGGGTCTTGAACATCTTGCTCTCACTGGCAAAATTGAGGGGAAGCGAGGCAGGGGAAGGCCCAGAACAACATACTTGGGAAACCTAAATAAATGGGTAACAGGGAAAGATCAGGGAAACATGGCTTTTTTTAAGAGCATCCGAGCAAAGGAATGAATGGAGAACCATGATCGCCGATGTCTTTCGCAGATCTGGCGCTGGATGGTGAAGATACAAACTGATGTGCAAAGTAAGGGGGGGGGGGGCATTGATTCGTCCATTAAAAAAATTTGAAGGTAAGTTGCGCAAATAATTTATGACCGCACTATAGATCTAGTGCGTAAACTCGAACCCCTTATTCCTCAAGTCCAAATCTGCCTATTCTTTACTACTAGTGTAACTACATGTACAAGCAGATCTCTGTCTCAGTTACGCACTGTGGAAATAGAAGTTACCGAAGTAAACAATACCGCTAGCTCGGCACGTTATAACAGCGCGCACCACGGGCAGAGACAGAGACCTGGCGATGTTAAAAGGTCTGTGGTGCGGGTCTGCACAAGAGAGTGGAGTAAGTCTGTTAACACACTGGCTGCACCAAGGACCTTAGAATTCTCTTTATTATATAACCTCCTTGGGCTTCGCGATTTGTTTCGTCTCGCTGTCTTGGGTATTCTCGGCAAAATAAAGATCGG